GCTTAGAGCATATGAACTGGTGCCAGAGGCCTATCGACAGCGTTTTAGGTCCTTTGAGCAAAAACAAGGTCAAACATATGTGGAGATGGCGAGGGATATGTCTGTTCATTTTAAGCGTTGGTTAACTGCTCTTGATATCGCTGCTTTTGACGATTTGTGTGACCTGATGATTTTGGAGCAGTTCAGAAATGTTCTTCCTGATCGCATTGCAACATATGTCACTGAACGAAAGGTCACTTCTGCGGCTGAAGCTGCTGTGGCAGCTGATGAGTTTGTGTTGCTTCATAAGAGCAGGTTCGGAGGGCGCTCTGGGGCCCTAGCTGTTTTTGAAGGAAGTAGAAAGGCTGTTGATGTTGGTTCGTTTGGGATGGAGCCAAGGAAATTGGGTTTGGTCAAATCTGATGTGGACAACATGGATAACATTGATAATTGCCACTACTGTCGTGAAAAAGGCCATTGGAAGGCAGAATGTCCTGCGCTTAGAGCAAAATCTGAGGGAGAAGATATTTTGTTGGGCCTGTTGCGTTGGCTGCTCCTGTGAAAAGCTGCTGTGTTGCCGATGTGCTTACATCCCACTTATGTGGATCTGAGGTTTTGGCATCTTATGCTCCATTTATAAGAGACGGCTTGGTGTCATTGGTAGGTAGTGATGTCAGAGTTCCAATCAAAATCTTGCGGGACACAGGGGCTTTTGACTCCTTTATTGTTGACTCTGTTTTGCCTTTGTCTGATGAAAGTGACACAGGTGACACAGTTCTGAGTTGGGGGATGGGATTAAAAGTTCTTCCTATTCCTGTTCATAAGATGTATATTGACTGTGACCTTGTTAAGGGTGAAGTAGCTGTTGGTGTACGTCCAGCTTTGCCAATCGAGGGGATACATTTCATTCTGGGCAACGGTTTGGCAGGTAGCAGAGTCTGGACGGATGTTCCCCCTGCGCTTTTAGTGACTGGTGGTCTGATTGAGTCTGGGTTTGAGGAGAGCTCTACAGTGGTCACGTCCTCCTGCGTGATCACGCGTGCTATGGCCGAAACTATGTCGTTTAGAAACCAGAAGGCCAAGCATTGCTCCACTGGTCAAAGTGATGGCGGCGGCTTTGATGGTGGTCGTGGTGGCGGCGGCTTTGATGGTGGTCGTGGTGGCGGCGGCTTTGATGGTGGTCGTGGTGGCGGCGGCGTTGATGGTGGTCGTGGCGGCAGCAGGGGTCGAGGACGTGGCAAGGAAATGTTCTGTTATCGGTGTGGAGACCAAGGACATATGGCCAGGGACTGTGACCAAACTGAGGATGTGTGCTACAACTGCAACAAACCAGGCCACATGGCTCGTGACTGTGGGCATGCCAACGACCGGAGGTGCTACTCCTGCGGTGGGCTTGGTCACATCTGGAGACGTTGTAATAAGGTGAAATGTTACAGGTGTGGCGACATCGGCCACGTTGCGGTGCATTGCAGTAAAGCCAGTGAGACTAACTGCTACAACTGCGGAAAGGCGGACTATCAGTTTGCCCCGAGGAAAAATGTGCATAACATATATATTTGACTGTAATGTATTGTCTTTCATACTGTTTTGTAAATCTTTCTTGCTCTGCCCATCTTTTTAAAGTGTGCTTCTCAGGTACCTGTGTTGCTAAAGATGTGGCTGGGTGTTGGAGGCGCGGTTGGCAGAATGAGGGTTGTATGTTACAATTGTTGGTTTTCTTTAAAATAGGGTACCATATGTCTTTTGTTTTTGTTTTTCATTACTGGTTGGGTTTTTGTTTTTGTTTGGGATGGGGTTGGTTTGTTGTGCCGGTGGTCCTAGGGACACCGACTTTAAGGGGGGGGGTGTGTGACGACCCCTGCTTTACTGTCTCCTGTGGTGTGTGTGTGTGTGTATGGCCCTTTAATGTTCTCCCTCTGTTGTGTCAGCGCTGATTGAGGACACCTGGCTGCTGGCACCGGAGGATTTAAGCAGACCCTTGATCTCTCTCTCCGCGGAGGACCTGTCCTGGGATCAGCCACTCTCGTTTAAACTTTGCCTTGTCTTTATGTTAGTTTTGGTTCCAGTTTAGTTTTTGGTTAATAAACATATTTTCTTATATATACTCTTGTCCTTTCCACACTTTTTGTTATGGCCAAGAGCCAGGCCATGACACAAACTGTCCTTCACTGCAAACATTGCTGCCACAACCCGCTGCTGCAGATACACTCTTTACAACATCAGGAGGATACGTCCCCTCCTGACCCAGAAAGCGAAGCAACTTCTGGTCCAGGCTCTCGTCATCTCACGCCTAGACTACTGCAAGTCCCTCCTGGCTGGTCTACCTGCATGTGCCATCCCACCTCTGCAGCTCATCCAGAATGCAGCGGCTCGTCTGGTCTTCAACCTTCCTAAATGTTCCCACACCACGCCGCTCCTCCGCTCCCTTCACTGGCTTCCAGTAACTGCTAGAATCCACTTCAAGACACTGGTACTTGCGTACCATGCTGTGAATGGATCTGGCCCTTCCTACATCCAGGACATGGTTAGACTGTACACCCCAGCACGTGCACTCCGCTCTGCATCAGCCAAACAGCTCGCTGCACCCGCACTGCGAGGGTGACCCAAGTTCCCATCAGCAGAAACACGTGGGTTTGCTATCCTGGCTCCAACATGGTGGAATGAGCTCCCCATTGAAATCAGGACAGCAGATAGCTTGCACATCTTCCGGCGCAGACTAAAAACTCATCTCTTTAGACTCCACTTCGAGAGATAGAATTACTAACAAAGAATTTCTAACACTTATAACTTAACTTATATACTAACAAAGGACTGGCTTATCTAAAGCCAGTTGAGTAGCACTTGAAATGTTTTGGCTCTATGAAACCTGATGTACTTATATGATTCTGTTTTCTTCTAGTTTGTATCTTGTTGGTCGAATGCACTTATTGTAAGTCGCTTTGGATACAAGCGTCAGCTAAATGAAATGTAATGTAATAACTGTATTAGGTTAGTTGAAAGCAATAATATTAAGTTTAAATAGGTTGAACTTAATATTCTTGCTTTCAACTAACCTAATACAGTTATGTCAAATCTGTTGACATTATACATTTAACTAAAGACAAAGTTTACCATGAATGTGGGATTGCATGTATTTGAATGGCCAGTGCACCTACCTGGATGGTGTAGAATTAGAACTGCGACACCTTCACTGAGCCAACAGTCCCATCCGCAGGAATGCCGTTAAGAATTCAAACAGAAACATTTTGCACCTTTTGTTTATTGCACTCCATTCCCTCATGCTGTGTCTGGTCATTTCTTACCTCATAAAAAAGACTGTACTGTCATTTATTCAACATTACGATGTTTGTGGAGACTGGAAAAAGAGAGTGGAGAGCAAAGAAAGTTTTTAATTCACACGTTCTCACTGCAGAATGTGCTCTGTAATACGTCTCTAATCTCGTTTCCCAGGTGAACATAGGAAACACAATTTCTGCTGTTATGACGAGGACACTAATGTGCAAAAAGTTGATTATTTCCTTGCGGGAGACGGCAAAATTGTCTGATAAAATGTTGGGGCTGTTACCAACCGCGATGAATGACTCATGCAAACTATGCTTTACTTGTTAGAGTAGACACTTAACTCAAGTTGAGGCAGAGGGATTGAAGATTACATTATCCACATTTAAATCTGTTGGCAGCATGCTGAAATGTTAGATAGAGGGAGAGGAGAGAGTACATGTTTACGATGACAGACGATAATACGATAATGAGTCCAGTAAAGTGACACAGGGAGGACCATCCACACCATAAAGTGAGGAGGACAGAATGAAGGAGCTCATCCTGCTGCTCGTTTTTTTGCATTTTCGAAAGATAATACTATTATTGGTTATTGGCGCGCTTGCTCAAAATGTTTAGTCTAGTTTTGCCAGGTAAAGTCAGGAGGACTTTGATTTCATTAAAAAGATGAATGCAAAACAAACCCCGACTTTTGTTAGTGTAGACACAGCTTCTGATCTTGCCAGTTCAAATTGGCTGTGTTCCAAATTGGACAGTAAGGTACTGCCAAACACACTCAGTCAGTGTGTTCTGCATGCCCATTAATAAACAAGTACGTGTATCAGGACCTGCTTCAAATCACACACACAAAGAAAAGAAAATCACAAACATTTTAATTGCACCAAAACAAAGAACATATCAACCTAAATAGGCACTTTCACACCAAGTACTTTGCCGTACTTAGTTCTCAGTACTTAGTTCATCAGAACTCTTTAGTTCTGATGAACTAAAGAGCAGATCGCATTCACACCGGAATAAGTCCCTGAGGGAGGATTAGGCAAATGAAGCCGCTGACGTCACTTCTTCTTCTTCTGCTTTGGGTTTACTGGCAGGCCGAAAACAACTTCACGGCGTATACTGCCGCCCGAAGTCCCTGGCCGGAAGTCCCCGGAGTTGGGGACTGGCTTCAGTAGAAGCTGCTGGGACTCCCAGCAGCTTCTACTGAAGCCTTCCGAGTAAATCGCCAGAACGCCGACACCTCATCTCCACCGCTCCCATGTTTTTTTTTGTATTGCCATAAGTTAGTCTCTCTCCGTTGGTGCGCTGGGCTAATGCTAATAATGCTAATGCCAGCAAATACAATGGCGGCTTCACAAAACTTTTCCGAGTTTTACAGGGCGTGGTTTGCAATTCGCCCAGGAATGGGAACCTTTTTCTCCCATGAAAGTACTAAAAAGGGGGTGAAACGGTTCTCATGAACTAAGTTCTAGTTCCGTTTTTTTTTGGTGTGAACGCAAAATTTCAAGAACTATCGGAACTATACTGGGAAAAGTACTCCGGTGTGAAAGCGCCTAATGTATATAGCAGAAATATTTCCCATTCTGGAGTTCCAACATTTTTGTATATACTCAATTGACCACCTGCAAGTCCTTGATATTTAAAACCAATATCTGAACTTTTTTCTGTACCAACCAAGCCTTTCGAGTTCGTTCGTGCGTGCGTGCGTGCGGTGTTTAGATATTTCAATCTGCTCTGCTCTCCAGGTGATTCGTATCATAAAGGAGCTGAAGCAGAAGTATCCGGACAAAGAGCTGGACCAGCTGGTGGAGCTGGCCAACTACTACGCCCTGCTGCACCAGCAGAAGAGCAGAGCCTTCTACCGCATACAGGTGACACACACACACACACACACACACACACACACACACACACACACACACACACAGGTTCCAATTTCACTGTACAAATTCCAATTCTGGGTTCTTAGCCCATTTCTAACACATTATACATGAATAGTTCCTGAAGCCAGCCCACAAGGTTATGCAGACCTACAAAAGGACCTCTCAACTCATGATGAAACTACATAAAGTTTATAAAGTTGAATGAAACTTAACATGCATACTATTTTCTGATATACATTAAAAGTCTGAATATCACAAGTACAAGTGAATAACGTACGTTTCACTCATTGTACAAACAATTCAGCTTTTCCTGTGAAAATGTTATTTTTAAAAAATTGTAATTTAAAAAAAAATGTTGAGGTGGTTGGACAACTAGACAAACACGGTGGAGGTTTCACAGCATTTTAAGTAATTGCACTGATTTTAAAAACCAAACAATCAATCCATCGTTAAATCAAAAAAGAAAACAGCATATAAATCAATAAAAATCATCGTTAATACTTCAAAATGATCTCCACCTTTGCTATTGATAGTATTTTCTCAATGAGTCCTTCCTTCGTCAGTGGTGAAAAATGACATTTAGAAAATCCCTGCCCTGTCTTTTACTTGTTGTGAACACTTTGCAAAAGGGAAGCAAAGTTGAAGGAATTAGTTATCTGTTTCTCCTGACGTCTCTCCTCTCTCCAGGCGACTCGTATGATGATCGGAGCGGGGAACGTCCTGAAGAGGCACGCAGCCGACAACGCTCGCCGCACAGCGGTCACCGACGAGGAGGCGCCAGAGGAAGAAGACAACGTGGGGATCTGCAGCCGCATCTCCTTCGAGAGCGCCCACAGTCAGTGCATGGAGAACTGCGGGGTCCTGACCCTGGCTGTGGTCTGCCTAGGTACACACATCAATATCATTCACAGGAACAAATAGAAACAAGTGATGAAATGAAAACAGATGAGTGATGGTACAGCAGTCTCTATTTACATCAAGGGTGTTAAGGTGAAATGCACTGGGGGGCTTACACAATATTCTGTGCTTGTAGCCATCAGGCTCCACAACCAAGGGTTAACCATGTAACCCATTATAATAAGATACTTTTTATTCCTTAAATGAATGCTTACATCTGTTCTCGTTTATCAATCACTGTAATCTGCTGCAATCTCAACTCAAAGCACCAAGGCATATCTGCAGGTTGTTTTCACACACCTCACGTCCCCTTTAGGTCAAAGAGAGGTCATGCATTCAAATCTTACTTTTTATTATGAAACACTCAAAAATATTATATGAGTTCTTATATATATTTGAGATATTTTTGTTTTAAATAAAGAAAAGTTAGAAATAACAAATCTTTATTTAAAAAAAAACAAAGAGTCACAATATCTGCCAGATTAATGTTGTGTAATTGTAGTATAAATACCAATTAGCATTAAGGGCACAGTTTCCCCATTTCACCAAAGTGATGGACATTTTTACATTATTTGTATTTGAAAGAAAAGCCTTATTCAGGTCTATTCTGCACTACAGAGTTCAACTTTTCACTTTGACTTCAGATAAGAACAGAGATGTATCTAGATGCATACGTCTTAAAGGGTTTTACAATATTCTCATTCAACATCTATATACAACTAAGCTTCAAACAGTACATCTGATTTGATTACATTGTGAGTTATGATTAAATGTTATTAAATTACATGTATGTATGTTTAAATGTATGTATGTTTGCTGCTGTGTAGGCGGTCTGGGAGAGAATACCTTCTATGTAGACTACAAGACAGAGGACGGTTCAGCCAACGCTGGCTCGGATTACGAATACAACGAGGGAACTCTGGTGTTCAAACCTGGAGAGACGCGCAGAGAGATCAAGGTGAGAGGAGAGATGTTAACACCTGACACTGAATGCCTGTGCTTTAGGAGGTGGAGCGAGTTGTCCACCAATCAGAAGATAAATCCCGGCTCCTCTGCATGTGTGTTTTTTAACCTCAAGTCCTCCCAAAGGGACAACCGTCAGTGTATGAATGTGTGTAAATAGGTAAATGTAGACAAGTAGTCTAAATGGTTTGAGTGGTAGGAAGACTAGAATGTTTGTGGTATATTAACCCACCGCAAAAGCACCTAAAAGACAATCACAAATCAAAATAAAACCAAAGACCAGTTTGGTGAGGTTGTGATGCTCGTCAGCTTCTCCTGGGTTGAGATTCTTTGTTCTTTTGTCCAACCACACAGTGTTCTCCTCTCCAGAACAAACACACCACCTGATTTGAGCTCACTGTTTTATTGTTTTTCACAATTTCCAAACAATTCATTCAGGAAATAATAATCACATTGTGGAAACTCTGTTGTATTGCATGGGTGAATAGGACATTTAATGAACTCAGAGGCAACAGATATTTTAAGAGGGGAGTGTTACATAACTATTGAGTCTTTTCAATTTGATAACTTGACTAAATAATTCCACCAGACTCATTAATTAAAGTACTTATATAAATTCAATTATATAATTGATCTATATTTATTTTCTCTCTGTTTTGCTCTGTCGTTGTAAATCCTGTTCAGCGTGTCACTAAGGACTCTAACAGCCTACTGTAGGACTCCTTCATGACTGGTTTGACTTTAAACTGACAATAAGAGAGACCGCATCATTCACAAATTCATTTAAGTCGTTCTGGAGATGAGATGAAACTTTATTGATCCCTGTGGGGAAACAAAAAAATAAGGCTTACATAAACATTATGAAACAGGATATCTGCCATCCCCAAAACTCTGAGCTCAGCGTTTCATCATTGAGAGATTGGAGATATAAGATGATATATTTTTACCTCTGAATAAGAACAGAGCAGCCTCTCAAACACAAAAACTGGATTAACACACAATGAGTTGCCAGCTGAGCAAACATGATGCAGGAGGACTGAGACGCTTTTACATTATGCATAACAATGCTTCAGATTTCTGAGAAACTGCAGGGTGGCTGTGGAGAGATTGGAGGAGATCGGAGAGGGGGGGATTACTAATGAGAGTCCCAGCAGGAGAGACAGCCTGAGGCTGAGGAGAGAGAAGTGTGGGGATAGAAGAGGACAGAGAATACTGCTGGTACTAATCCAGCTAATCTTATGTTAGCTAGTGATTTACTGTATGAACCAGAAGGACCCGTAGGTATGAAACACAGCAGGAAGCTCGTCCTTAAGCACTTACAACGTGTAAAATAATCAGAGGAAAAAAACATTCTATACAGGCTATAGAGAGACTCAGGTGTTCCTATTGGCTGTTCTACAAATATAGATGCATGTTCTAGGACTTCTTAGACTGAACGTCAGCCACTCATTTCAGACTCAACTCATGATGAAATTACATTTGGTTTATTATATAGAATGAAACTCAACAACAATCATAACACTTATCATAAACATTAAAAGTCCATATCACAAGTACATTTACCCAAGTACTACATACTGTACACATTTGAGATACTTGTAATTACTTGAGTCTGTTCTTCTCTTGCTTCTTTAAGCCTCTACTCCACTACATGTGTCTGACAGTTATTATTACACATACAAAGTTAAAAGCACAAAAATCATAATTACATTTTTTCACCTCAACCAACGACAACAGTAACATCTATTATTGTTTCACATTAATGCATGATCAATGAAAATCAAATATTATTGCACATTTTCTTACGGTTATCTGTTTGCATATAGTGTCCTTGAGCACTGGGTAAAGTGCTATATAAATATGATTTATTATCATTATTAAGTAACAAGTAAGTTTCAATGCAGGCATTTTAATTGATATAGTAGTTTCACAATATCAATTACCTTCTCCATGATTACTAAGCTGTTCCTATTGGCTGTTCTACAAATGTAGATGCACCTGAGCAGCCTGACATAACAGTGGAATATCCTGCAGGAAAATGTGATCTTGCAGCCTTGGCAACAACCACTGACACTGCAAAGCACCCGAAAAAATCACAATGTCCATTCAATAAAAAAATGTAAAAGTCTAACAATCGGCGAAGCATTTCAGAGATGGAGAGAAACATTTTCTAAAAGGTAAACCTTCTGATTAACGTCGTTTTTGAATACGTCAAAGTCACGCAATTTCTGCTAGCCTTTCAAAAGCCAAGGAATTGAGGAATGAAATTGAAATGTAACCAAATGTAATCAAAGCCATCTTGTCCATAGTCACGACTGATGTCTTGAATGAAAAGCATATGATTGCAGGAGGAAGAGACACGGTGAGCCGGGGATGCTCCGCTCAGATTCAAAGATGAAAAGCAGTGTGAAGGCCGGGTGAGGAGAGTGATGCAAGAGCCTGAGAGCCACATTAAAGAAGCATGGGGGTGGCTGGACTAGAAAAACACACACTTAAAATTGGCTCATCTCCCATGTGGGAATAGATAGCAAAACACTTAGTGGGTACATTAAAAAGGTCAGTGTCATCTATTTCAACAGCATTCCAGTGGGTTTCATCGATCAGTGTCAGAAATAAGCAGCGGGGAAACCAATTAAACTTGAATGTCTCACTCAGTTCCACTGTGTCACTCCTCTGCTGATTAGACCTGAGACATGGGGAGACAGACCCAATTAAAGGTCTTGTTGTCAGCACTCTTTGTTGTAGCCAGTCAAAATCATTATTATATAAAACCAAAGAGAGACAACTATTCACAGAGTTACAGAACAAATCTAAATCTAATTGGAAACACAGTGAAGAGATGGAAGTGCAGCAAGATCAGAACAGGGCTGCCAGTTAAACAAGTGTGGACACATTGATGCAAATGTTATCCATTATTTCCTTCAGCCAACACCTCTGTATACTGAAACTACAGGACTCTCAAAGGTGCATTTATTCTGTTTATCATTATGAAACACAACTACCTGATTATGTTAAAGCAACAAAACTACTTGGTTAGGTTTAGGAAAAGTTTTGGGTTAAAGTAAGTATGGGAAATATTTAGCACTTCCAAAGTTAAACTAGGAACCATTCTATTTAACGTTGTCGAACAAAAATACTTGTCTGTAGACAGTAAAACAACTCACTAAGCTTTAAGCAAAAAACAAAACTGGGTTAGGTTTGGGAAAAGTGTTTGTTGTTGAACATATGTTCTTGTTACTGTTTTATCATGCAGTGTTGGAGAGCATCATAAGGTATGGTATCACTGCCTGGTATGGTAACTTGACAGTGCAGTTGAAGTCACAGATCGCTCGCCTGGTACAGACTGCTATGAAAATGATGGGGGTCAAAAAACATCCATCTCACCAAAACATATATGAGCAGTTCATTATTAGACAGGCACAACAAATTGTGTCTGATCCCACCCACATACTCCACCCAGAATTCCAGCTCCTACCGTCTGGTAGAAGATTCAGGGTTCCCAAGAGCAGGCTGAACCGCTGTATTGCAGGGGTTAAATTGGGTATATATAACGATATATATGTTAAAACTTTTCTCGTTCTTAATATAGACTATATTTAGGGTCGATATGTGTTGACTTTACTTTAAAATAGCAGATCTCTGTGACCGGATATAGTTTGTCGGCGTAGTGAACGTGTGTCTGCTCCGATCAGGAGCTGCAGCACCGCCCGGACTTAGCTGCGGCTCCTCCGTGAAGAGAGTCTGCGGCGGTGTGTGAGTGTGTGTGTCCAAAGAGTCTGCAGCGGTGCCGCCAAACCCCCCGACCCGTCTTGTAACACGGAGCCCGTTTCTTAAACCATGCTAAATGTATGTGTGTGCATAAAGCTGAGTCATAATTAATAGTTTACAGTGAGATTTACTCACATACTTTTCACCATACTCGCGCAACTGAAATTTGAACTCAGATTTCCACACAAATGATCTTTAGCAAGTGTGCAGAGCAATGTTGATTTAAAATAGCAATTTGAAGGTTGGATATTTAAAAAAAAATGTGTGTTTAGGGCTGTCAGTCGATTAAAATATTTAATCGCGATTAATCGCATGATTGTCCATAGTTAATCGCGATTAATCGCAAATTAATCGCACATTTTTTATCTGTTCTAAATGTACCTTAGAGCAGTGGTTCCCAAACTTTTTGTGCCCAAGGCACACCAAAGGACAAGTAAAAATCTCAAGGCACACCTATTGTGCAAAATAGCCCTAAAACACGTGTTATCACTCATATCATGTAAAATATCTGTAAATGTGCATAATTATTTACTAATGCCAAATAAAATGTGACAAAGACAACTATATTACTCGTGAAATATTTATTAACGAAATATTTCAGAAATTAATTTGAAACTTTATCAAATTAGGCTTCATCAAAGCAGCAACACACTCATTTAAACCAGTCAGGTCACAAAATAAAATGTTTTGGAGGATCAGGCTTTGGTGGTCGGCTCCCATCTCGGCGCACAGCTGGGAGAAGAGGCGAGATTTCAGGGGCCTTGATTTGATGTAATTCACCATCTGCACAGCCTGATTCAGCACCTCAGTCAACTCCGGGGGCATGGTTTTGGCAACTAATGCCTCTCTATGCAAAATGCAGTGGTTTGTCACGATATGTGGGTTTTGTGCTCTCACCTTAGCAATACATCCTTTCACTCTCCCCGTCATGCTTGCCGCACCATCTGTGCAAAGACTGACGCACATATTCCAGGTCAGACTGTTCTCTTTTAAATAGTTATTAGTTACCCTGAATATTTCTTCTCCCGTAGTATGGCTTTCCATTTCTTTGCAAAAGAAAAACGTCTCTTTGATAGAGTCAGCATTAGGGATGCCAGCGATTATTCGATTTTTCGAATATTCGTTACAGTCTCCATAATCGAAAATTATTTTTAAAATTCGATTTTATTTATATATATTTTTATTATTATTTATGTTTTTCTTTTCTTTTTTCTGGCTTAGTTTCAA